AGCGTGTAGTCCTATTATTAACCAAGCAAGCGCTTTACCTCTCCGATTCAACACTTTACAACAGTACTCTGCCTAGTCCAAAAAGGCATCGTTAGTGCACTTCAGGAGCTAACAAGTTCTGATTTTACCTTTCAGTGCCTTCTTGAAGGAGAACGGCGCAGAAGCCAATTATCCCGACTGTAGGCCCTCTACAGCAAAACGGAAAGAACACCAACTTATCATTTTTCATAACAAAATTGCTCATGTTTGCTTCGTGTTTTGCAGCCAATATGATAACGACTGATTACAGTTCTTTTATATGACACAGAGAGAAACACACCCGCACATACAGGCAGACTAAGATAAATTATGATTAACACTCGGAAAAGTGAAAAAAATGAGCAAGTTTGAGGGTGTTTTAATCAATTTCAAATCACGCTCATGGATGGAAACATTTGTATATTTGTGTTCATGTTATCAAATCAGAACCAATGCCACGTAGGTGTCTAATTCGCTCAAAAGTTAGATTAACCCAACTTTTGAATAACGAATATTTTTTCACCTAACAAAATCTCCAGAATGAAAAGAAGAGTCTTTTGACTACATGTCTTCAAATTTTGCTCACAGCCGTTTTAGTATTTTTTTCCCAAAAATTTGGTAGACCCAAATATATACACCTTAAATGCTCAATAAATTTCTACTTCCATTTACAGGATAACAAGAAAAGTGGATTTTGTCGGCACATAGTACTGGCCACCACTAGATATTTAAGAAGCTGCCTTTTTCAAATCTCGGCATTGTAAGCTTAATTTCAATCACGATGAAGTAGTATATTTGTCAACTCTTACTTTTTACAGATCTGGTTTTAATTGTTGGTAAGGCCATGGCTAGAATACTTCAGAAACTCTATTACATTTGATTGATATCAAAACTTGGGCTTGTTTAGAGAAAATCTCAGCGATAGTTAAATTTGCAGAATATCTCCGATTATGACTTACTTAGGTAGGCGCTTCTGATAGGATATCTTCAATTGCCTCACCTCTGCATAACCCTCTCATAAAGCAAATTAAATGGTAAAGAGGTATGATGTTGATGACTGGTATTCTGATGCTTTTTGTTTGGCGTTGCTTAACAATAAATCAACATTATGATTCAGGTGTAAAGTCTAAAGTTCTATATTGTCGGTAACAATTAAAAAATTGTGGCATGGAAATATTTTGACTTGCCTAAAATCATTGTGGTTCGAGCAAATTTGGATATGTACCAAGTCTTCTAAAACGGAATTTTGTAAAATGATGCTACTTAGAGAGAAGAAATTACTTTCAAGGAGAATATTGAAGATCAGGAATGTTCATATTCTAGCTAATTCAATTTAGTCTTTAGGGGACTCTAAATTCTAACATCCGGGTATCTGAATTTGTCG